TGTTGTACATGGTTGGCTGGCCATGCACAATGGGATGTTGTAGGAAATACCACTCCCTGCTAAGCCTTTGAATGTTGCAAAAGACAGAGTTGAGGTGAGAAATATCCCACAAATATTGTACAAATTACGCTCATGGGCCACTATTAGTTGTGTTAGGCTTGTCTTTCAATGTTTGTTCAAATATCTTGGCCTTTTAAACATTTTGCTTTTTAAATTTTTTTTGTTTTCCATTTAGGCCAAAATTGTTGACTAGAAGTGGTTAAAGAGTCTCCAACTCTCCGTTCTTCCTTTCATACCTGACTCGCTTGTATCAATTCATTATAATAAGTCTGTCACAGTTTCATGATTTAACTCAAGAGCTTGCTTCAAAACAGAATATTTAAGGTAATAGTGAGGACATGTAGAATTATCGTGGTGAATGCTAGATCAGAAGGATTTAAATGTTTTTGTCAGATGATTCAATCCATGGAGTCTGAAGTAGGTCAGTTGTTCATCTTGCTTGTCAGTGAAATGTTCACTATTCTTCAAGGAATTTCCTTCCAGGAATAAGCTGACCATGATTGCTGAGCCTCTGGAAAAAGGTCTGGCTGAAGACATTGAGAATGAAGTTGTACAGATCAACTGGAACAGGTGAAAACAAATCTGGCAGATTGGTTGTGAAGAAATAAATGGAAACAATAATGGGTTGAAAAGGCAAAAAAATCAGTGCAGTTTTCTCCTTATTCCACCATTTCAACTTATTAATTCAATATTATCCTGTAAATATTAAACATAATTTGATTCTTTGCAAATTGATATACAGGTAATTAAAAAACGTTAATGTTCCAAATTTTGCGTAATTAAGCATAAGACTGCAATATGATTGTCAATTAATAAACCAGTTATCAAAATGTAGAGATTTACTAAGGTTTGTTATAGTCAGAAATGCAAGTACTGACGTTTAAGCTTGTGTTTATAGTATGACTGCGTAATGATTTATGATTGCATTTTGACAGTTTAGATTTTCAATGATGGTACATTGCAGTGTGGGTTTCTTGCAGTTTGTTGCTGGGTGTGTTGCATTGTAAACATAATGATAAATTGCTATACTTTGTTTCCAGTGCTAACTAAGCTCACAGCTTCTGTTGAAAAATCATCTGACTTCATTGATATTTTCTCTCTTTCTAGGAAGAGATTAGGAGAGTTCTTCCAGACCAAGTATGACTGGGATTTACTGGCTGCTCGTTCTATCTGGGCCTTTGGACCTGATGCTACAGGTCCTAACATCTTAGTAGATGACACCCTACCATCTGAGGTAAGCTGGCTGTTAATCGGTACATTTCGTTACGACATATGGCATCCTGGATGCTTTCCATTACACAAACACAGTGAAATGCCACTATAATTAACATGATGGGGTCCACACAAAATGTTTAGTAGAGTAGTTGTTTGATTTTGTAAATTCCATTCACAGATGCATACATGGACATCTGTACCATTCAAATGTGTGGCAGCCTGCCCCACAAAATGTTTTGGTATGAGGATTTGAAGTCAGCACTTGCCAAAGATTAAAATAAGTGTATTTTGTTGAATGTATGTTCATCTCCTTTAATGTTTCACCTTTTGGGTAGTCCTCACTAGAAGTAGAATAACAAAATAAAAAGAGTTCTCTTAAAAATTGCATGCGACATATATTCTGGTCACACTGGCTCTTTTTAGTAAAAAGGCACTTTAATAAATGAGTCGTGCTGGGAACCATTCTAAAACAATAACACTGGAGGTTCATACAGGTACAAGTCAGCGTATGTATTTTTTTTTTTTTTGGTGAGTTTTTGAGGTCAGACATCACGACTTTGCAGCAATTATCATGCAAAGTTTTCCACACAGTTGCAAGTGTTACACACATGTATTTGGCAGCCCATCCACATGACTGCCTGTGGACGTGACTGCCTTTTGACGTGACTGCCTGCTGACATACGCACATACATGCAATGTAGGCAACCCATGAATGACACAGACCATGCCATGTGTTGGCTGCTGTTCCATTGCGAGTGCAGTTATCCACAACCTTGAGTTATTACTTGTTCTAAGTATGTTTCTTTTATTTAGAGCAAATTTGTAAAGTTTGGGAAAGTACACATAAAATTTGGGAGCCAAGGGGAATGTTTGGTATATCCATATTGTTCAATATAGTTGTGTTGATTAATCCTCCTACATGTATGTGGAAGTCACTCTTTGGGTCACTTGGTAAACACCTCAAAGAAGCACAGCTGTGTTGTGTTGTGCACAGGCACCAACTGTCCCTCACAGGAATATCAGATTGCACTTTTGTGCTGCCCAACAACTGTGCCTCACTGTTTCAAGTGCATAATTGTGCAGTAAACNCATGCCAGTGACTGTGGGCATTTGTGCACATTTGTGCTGTAAAACCAAAGGAGGGTTTAAGTGGCATTCCACAGTATATATTTTTCATTGTTACTTTATGCCAGCAGTAAAAACAACAACCTAACTATAGTTTTGTGCAGTCTGTAATAATGAATCACATCATAAAACTATGGAGCTGCTAATAGTTACAAGGTAAAATAACCATGGACAGTTTTTCCAATTGTACAGTAGTTGTCCTGACGGTTGTGTCTGGTGTCTCTGTTCAAGATAACAATCTTGTGGGAAAGCCAGTTATGCAGTCAATGTATGTTTCTCAAGCTTAAGTACTAAGCGAAAGTGCCATGTGGTCAAGTAGTAGCACAGGAAGTACTTTGTAAGATTACAGACAATCTGACTTTTTGTGCTGCTAATTGATCACATTGTACACTAGCTTGGGATACATACAGTAATTATAATCCCACCGAAGATGAAGATGAAATAATCCCATGCTGATGAGCCTTGTCTATTAGATGTTGTAGCTTTCCATAAAGTAATGAAACTTGTGTTCAATCACGTGATAAATAATTATCAGAGATGCAGTTAATGAAATGGAGTTGTGCACAATTTCACATAAAAGCTGAACTGACCAGAAGAGTGTAAATAGTGATGCTTTCTGCTGTTCCTGAGGTGTGATGCCATCATGCACCACCCTCACTGTGAGTCCCCTACTGTTGTGGTACATGTACATACATGTAGCTACAACCTTGTTTATTTACTTTGAATGTGCTCTATAAATACAAATGCATCTTTCTTGTTCCATCAACAAGGAAAATCAGCTTTAGCCACTTTTATTACTTGTTTCATTTTCCCTTTTGGGGGGAAGGGGGAAATGTTTTAGACCTATATTCCAGTGTTTTTGCATATACTTGTATGCTTTCGTTTTCCAAATATAAGTCAACTTTTCAATGGCTGCATCTCTGTATTTATATTTATAACTAATCCTGTGTTACTTTGTTAGGTTTTTTCAGTATTTTGGTTGGCCCAGTTATTGCAAAAGATAATAGCCTATATCACCATTCAGTCATTTTGATGTTGCTCTATGGAATATAAATAATAGCCCTGGAATAGCCCGCATAGCTTTGTAGAATTGTGTTTAGAAAATACTGTTTGCATTTTAGGTGGATAAGGCATTGCTGAACTCCGTAAAGGACAGCATTGTACAAGGATTCCAATGGGGAACAAGGGAAGGACCACTATGTGATGAACGTAAGTATATGAAAATGGTCAAAATACCCAAGTATTGATTCCATTCTCCCCTTAAAAGCTAGATGCTTCTTGATTTAAACTATGTTAAAAGCACAATAATGCGTTAAAACATGTCTGTATTAGATTTCAACTAAAAATGTTCAATTGCTGTCATATAGCAGAACTTAAATGAACTTAAAGCATTCACATTTATATAAGAAGCCTAGAAGTTATCAGCTATGTATAAATTGACTTAATTTCTCAAGTTTCCTGTTTGGTGTACACATCTCAGGGTAATTACATGTATATTTTAGAAGGGAATTTTTTTTAATGGGGATGTTTCATCATGAGCACTGGCAGTCACTGGCTTATGAGACAGGCCGCTCTGGCTTTAGCACTGTTGTGCACACCTTGTATATCTAAGGATCCTCACTATATGAACACACATCTAGGTCCAAAATCTGTCGGTTAGAAGGCACCAATGAATCTGCAACCTGCCAGTGAAGGAAAACCTGTAGGGTCCAATCTACAGGTCACATGGAAGAAAAGATGACACGCACTTCTTCCTGGATCTTTATCCTGGTTTGTTGAAATAGGTCACATGTGGTTCACTTATATGGGCTAGTACATGAATTTGTCGACAGCGTGACTTGACACAAGTCTAGACATTGTGTGCGCATCAATTCCAGTTTGTTTCCGACTGGTTTAATATTATGACCTCTGGCTCATTTTAAAACGTTGTTGAATTGAAACAGTTAAAACCTTGGAAGATTTCTTTTCCTATTTGTAAGCAACCACTCAAAATTAGACGGCGTCTATGAAAATTGAAATTAACCTTCAATTTTTGAATTGGTATTGAGTGATAAGTTGAATTAAAACAGTTAGACCCTGAAAAAATATTTTTCTAGTTTGAACTGTGTTATAAAACACTTATGGACTGGCCAGATTTGGTCACTGGTGCACACCACTGTCCCCTCAGGCCTGTGAGTGACCAGAAAAGGGTCCTATTTCCCTCGACCAAAAGAAGACCTTCTTCTGGTCACTCGTCGTCTTTCAGGGACATAGACATGCACTAATGAGCTCATTGCCAGTCAGTGTGTGTGTAGCAATGCTGCTGGTCTCAGCAGTAGCTGTAGGTTTGTGTACATGAGAGAAAATTGAGCAGGTCCAGGAACTGCTTAGTAAGCTACGTAGGGGTAAAAGTACAATATGAATACTGACATAATAATTACTTGATCTTTTTATAGCCATTCGGAATGTCAAGTTCAAGATTCTCGACGCAGTCATAGCTGGGGAACCGATTCATAGAGGAGGAGGTCAAATTATCCCCACTGCCAGACGTGTAGCTTACTCCGCCTTCCTTATGGTAAATGATGTTTCAGTTGTAAATGCTGACTTTCCAAGGATACTGCACACGTTTTCAGTAGTTCCCACTATATGTAAATGTGTATGCTGTTCTCTGTGTTGGTTTAGTTGATTTGTTTGTGTGCTTGAGTGAATCCCACTGGTAGCCACCTAGCCTTGATGCAGTGGCAAGGGGATCATATGTGGGAGGATATCTTGATAGAGTACATATAACATTTTCTCAGCTTGTAACTTAACTTCCAAATCAATTCAAAATAATTCAAAATAAAATGTTATTGAAATTTTTGTTTTCACATTGTGCCTAATATTGTTCAATTGAAATCATTTTACTGCTCCAAGGGACACCTTTATTACAGCTCAATTGCTTGCTTTTAAATGAACTGAGTTACTGGTTAAATACCTCCATTACTTTGATAAAAAATTCTATCACGACCAACAAGTGGACTTCACTTGTATTTGCATAACTAGTATTATTGACTAATATGTGCACTGCACCAAATTGATTACCAGCAGCATACCAAAACGGAGCTTCAGATCTGGTGTTTATGAGACCAGAATTTAAAGATGGGTCAATATTTACATTTATGTTTTCGGTTGTCTTGTTTACCACCATTGTTCACCATTTTTTTAAAATTTAAGGCCACTGATCTGTTCAGTTATGTTGTTAGTTCATGAATATTAAAATACATTGATTATTCACATTCTTTGAACAGGCCACACCCCGCTTGATGGAACCATACTACTTTGTGGAGGTGCAAGCCCCAGCTGATTGCGTGTCAGCTGTATACACTGTGCTGGCAAGGAGAAGGTGTGCCTTATTGGATAGTAATCCCTTTTCATGCATTATGAACTCTTTTTCAGGAAATGTAGATGGTGCTTTGTTGCTTGTACTTGAAACCATTTAAAAAGCCTCTCTGCTGCCGGCACTCCTTCACTTGTCCAAATGACCTTGAGTGCATACAGCCATTCCTCAATTGAATGGTTCAGCACATCAGAGTACTTCCAGAGTGATGCTAAGTGGCGTGTTGATATTATCTGCTGAGACCTTAACTGCGTATTGAACATAAAGAAAAAACTGTCATGTCTCTTTTTCTGCAGTGTGGCACAAATGTGAAACATTACATTCTGCTAAAAGCGATCGTGTGCATGTGAAACACTTTTTAATGCTGAGATAAAAAATTACAAAGTAAAGTCTGGTTGGCCTGAGTGGATATGATACCTTATTGTAATTACTTATTTGCATGACAAATTATATTTCAAGTGTTTGCGTTTCTTTCTGCTCGGTTTATTTTTGAATGAAAAAAATATCCTTCAATTTACAAAGTGTGCTTTTAAGAGCTGCTCTTGAACGAGATGGTCATTATTTGGTTTTTATAAAAGAAATCATGCAGTGCCTTTTTCACACTTCACTTTTCACAGAGGTCATGTTACTCAAGATGCACCTGTACCTGGCTCACCTTTGTATACCATCAAAGCCTTCATTCCAGCAATTGACTCCTTTGGCTTTGAGACTGACTTGAGAACACACACTCAGGGGCAGGCATTCTGTCTGTCTGTCTTTCACCACTGGCAGGTATGAAATGTAGCAAAAAGGACAGTGTCGTTTCCAATACAGGAAGTTTATAAGGCAACAGTAGCAATAGGTCTGTGTACTGATAACAGCATGCTTTATTTACATATGTACTTCCTATGGAGCCAGTGGGGGCCAAGGCTCCCTGAGCACAATAGGAAAGCAGACACATAACAAAAATGTGGCGTCATCGGTACAGATGCGTATTGCTGTTGTTGCCCTTGCAATTGTCCAAGTGTCCTTTCAATTATCACTTTATACAGCAAATTACCGGCCATAATAGTTACAGCTATGATGTACCCCTGGCAGTATGTGTCATGATTGGAGGAACTTTGGATGTGCAAAAATTCCATCACAGATTTCTTTTCATTATTTCATGCTATTCCTAAAATAATCAAGTATGTAAAATCTGAATGGCATAGAAATTTCAACCCGTGCATTGTTTACATGTGTTTTGATTGGTACAGTATATAAACTCCCTGGTACAGTGTGTGTGTTGTGCCTGCACAGCCTGCACTCTGCTACCTCCACTGCTGTGCCGTAGTTGACCCTCGGTGCTGCTAGCAAGATAATCAATATGAAAAGCAGCTGCTCAAAAAGAACCATCTGGTCATTTTTGGTTATCAAAGTTGCCTAAAAAGGAGAGAGGCTGACATTGATATAAATTATGTATGTATGCCCACCCTCCAAGCTGACTGGACTTCAAATTAACCTACTGCCAGTGGCACCACTGAAGTCATGGATGCATGTTCTTTCAGTTTTGATACTGGACCCAGTCAGAGTCGAAACCAGAGCGAGTCTGTTGATGGAAAAAAGCATGTAAGATGAAATTAGTTCAACTTTACTCGCCTTTTTGGCTGACAAAGCTCTCCAGAGTTTTCATGACAGAGAGTGAAATTACAGTCGGACATCAGACATTTTCCGAGCACTTATTGTGTTTTTCCGAACAAAATCAAAGATGCTCGGACAAATTGTCCGACCAACATATTAATAACAGCTCTTAAAATATCAATACAGTATACAGGATTATGGCGTCTGATTTATTATTAATTTTGTGTTAGAGTTATGTTAATTATGCCCAAGGTATTCATGAGGTCTGATAGCTCATCACCAGCCCATGCATGTCACCTAGCCCCACGCCTATTATACTTTACTTGCCCCATAATTCTTTGAGCAGTCACAGTGGTGAAAACATGTGCAAAACTCTATGCATTAAATAAAGCTGCTCTGGTTCCTGTCGCGCCGTACCCGTGCAAAAAAGAGTGCGTGATGGAACTGTAGCAACCATACTGTACATGTACTGAATGTCCGGGAAAAAAACACTCTTCATCGGCCGTACATGTCGTAAATGCAAAAAGGCTGCAGGCTGGAAAGACATCCATGTTATGTTGCAAGAGGTTTTCTGCAAGTTAATTCACAAAACTTGGTCTCTTATTTATGTATGTATATTCTGTGTTCACGAGTGTAATTTGAGGTTGCTTTGCTCATGGCACAAGGTTTAGCGCCAGCTGGTCTGATGCATCACGCACGTTTACCACGCGATACACGGACATTGTTGGCCAGTTTGCCATCGTGATGTGAATTATTCATAAGTTTCTTGTGAATTGCCATATATAGAAATTTTTGCATAGACATTACGACAGTTGTTCCTCACTTTCTGAGATCCTTTTGGCTGCTGTCGCCCCACTGATGCCATTCAATCAGCACAAAATTGCCCTCAAACCCTAAAAAAGTTCCGACCTACTGACCCATTTTTGAGAGGCTTGCATGCTCAGCACAACTACATCATGTATTTTTTGGGCCTAATAAAAGACTGCATGTATGCAGTAGGCCTTAGTTAAATAATAATTGTGGATTCTGAGAAATCTTTGGCAAGTGTTGATCCAATTAGAGCAAGCAAATTTATGACATGGCCTGCCCAATCGCGCAAACTAAAAAACAATATCATTGCGGCCTGCGCCCGAACATGAATTGCTCAGTGCGGCTGCGTGTGGGGTTTCCAGTGCGGCTGCATGTGCGGTTTTCGTAGGAACAGGAAAAAAAAAGTGAATTTTGACCCCTTACACTGCACGTTACAACTCTACCTTTTATATAATATGGCAGATTAAAAGCTGGTAATAGCAAAACAAAATTGATTGTGTTGTGACATTTTGTCCGAGCACTTTTTTGTTCTAATTTCGCACTCTGCATGAGGTAAAAAAAAGGCCTTCAATATCTCACCTGCCGAGGTTTCTAAAGGAGACTTTTCTTTTTCTTCAACATTTCACTCCTGAAATGAAGCGAAGTGATTTGGTTCCTTTCCTGCAAGCCTCTAAAGTCAAAATATGTTTGACCATTGTGTTGAACAACAAACATTACCTCCTTTCACTTGTGTTACAGCAGCCAGACCTTCAGTTACATGTACCTTGGATATATTTTGTCTGTGTAGTTATTGTTTCTAAGGGGTAAAGCTGAAGGAGATTAAAGTGACCTCAGCACATAACCTCAGCA